TGCTTCTTGCCCCATAATACCAAAAACCAAGCTAGAAAGGACTTAACTCTTGGGGAAGGGCTTTTGCATAACAACTAGAAAGGTTTTCTGCATCAATGATACATATAGAACTCAGATCTGGAGTTTCAACTCCAGATCTAACTCATGCTTCAAGATCTCATCAATATTTCTCCAACCAAACCTTAAAACTCCATGAAAATGGAACTAGAAAAGAGAAGGCCAAGGATAACGATTCCTTACCTCCAAAATGATCTCCCAATGAAGTATAATCCAGATTTCTTCAAGTCTCCTTGATGCAAGCTTCTTGATCTTCCAGATCCCTTCACAAATCACTCCAATTTGCTTCCAAGTCTTCTTACAAACGAAATTAGGGCTTATGGATCTCAAAAGGGTAGCAAAGAGGCTGAGGGTGGGTTATAATGTGCTTTATATAGGGCACAACCCCTGGGATTAGGGTTTTCTCCCTTTAGCACCAACTCGTCGAGTACAAGCCGCCGACTCGGCAAGTTAGCCATTTAAACCCGCGACAAATCCCGCTCCGACTCGGTGAGTAAGCATGCCTACTCGTCGAGTCCCTTTCCTTAATTTACAATCTACGCCCTTCAACAACACCTCTGGAATTTGGGGTGTTACATTATCCTAGCCACAACTTTCATTGCCCTTAATCATCCCAATCTCGCCAAATCATCAGAAGATAGGCACCCTTGTTCTCATATTATTGTTGAGGTAAGTGTCGATCAATTGTGAAAAAATGGAGACGTGGGGTGAACCAGGGGAATATAAGGCAAGAAAAAAACCTAACCTCTCCCATCACCTTCTCCGTCTTTAGATTCTGAGATAATTTCCAAACCCCGACCCTTCATGTACGTCTCATTCTTCTTTAGAATAAAAAACAGTGGAGATTTGGGGTTTTAGTTAGAGGTGTTCAGATGGAACGGTGGCACGATGGTCGTCGAAGAAACATATGTGAATGGTGGTTGTCGGGGGTGCGAAGGAGAAGCATGGGACAATGATGCCTACAATGGATCTGGTAGAGAACGTCATCAAGAACGAGTTGAGTTTATTTTTTACTAGAGGATCATACGGAGAGAGAGAGAGAGAGAGAGAGAGAGAGAGAGAGAGAGAGTTGGGTGGGTAGGGTGGGTTGTAAGGGTGATAGTTTATTTTTCTTTTTCTTTTAATTAAAATAATAATAAATAAAATAAAATAAGATAAAAGGGAAATATTTAAAGGCATATTGGTCAATTCAGATGGAGTATGGACCAATACCACACAAAAATACTAACCATAGGGACCAATACCACACAAAGTATCCGAAATTAGACCGATGTTGCACCGCAAAACATTTTTGGACCAAAACAACATAATTTTGCCAGCCATAGAGACCATTTTTGCAATTTTGCCTTTAAAAAAACTGTATCAATATTGATTTCTAATCAATTTTTTTTTAAATTTTTTTTTATATACTTCTCAATGATATCTAAGATCATCTCCAACCCACCTCCATTCCCCCCCCCCCCCCCCCCCCCCAAAAAAAAAAAAAAAAAAATAGGGCAAATAGTGTTTCATCTCCAACCCTACTCTATTTTTTACCCTATTTTTATTCCCAAAAAAGTATATTCCTAGTATATTCCATTATTCCAACTTACATAGATTGTCAAACACACCCCTCTACTAATTTAGTTTTAACAAATATATAATCTATATTTTTTTATTACATTAATATTAAATACAAACGATTATATTTATAATAAGCTTATAACTATATATTATACAAGCATTTATAAAAATATTACACATACACACTTTTAAATAAATATTAAATAAATAAATAATAGTATTGTCACTTGTTGGTTTTTATTAGATTATTATTGTAATATATATGTTAACTACAAATTTAATAGAATAAATTATTGTGTTTATAATATATATTTTAATTATAAGTTTTTGTAAAATAGGTTATCGTTTTTTAAAATTTCAATATGTATTTTTATTTTTATATGAATTTGATGATCAAAAAACAAACTTTATATTTATAATTAATTAATATAATTTAATATATAACAAAATATTTAAAGTATTAAATATTATATTTAAATTATAATTAGTAGGTAAAAACGAACTAGAAATGTAAAAATATATAACAGAAGAACTAAAACCGACAACACAGAGTTCACTCCCATTTTGGAAGAAATGAATAGTATAACACCATATTTGATGTAATACTATTCATATCCCAAAATGAACAAATAAATAGGAGAGAGTTGAAGAAGAATAAGAGAAGAAATAAAAGGAAAAAAATGAAGAATTAAGATGGCTTGAAAATACTCTAAATATTCAAAGAAATAAGAAAACAAACAAAAATTGATGACACGTAGTATATAGCATATGCATGGTATTAATTAAGTTATATATATCAGTTCTCCATTACACAAACCAAAGCCCCCTCTGAAGCACATCAATTAAGTGCCATCAGTAGTCATCACCATGTCTCTCTGCCATCTTTCATTCTCAAAGCTCATAATCATCCTTTCTCTCCTGATAATAAACCACATTTCTTCCGGAGCCAACGCCGCTGCCGTGAACACATCCCTCTTCCGCCACCGCTACCTCACGGTGGATTACTACTCCAAAACATGCCCTCACCTTGAACAGATCGTCAGCTCCGTCGTTTCTCAGAAGTTCAAAGTTTCTCCGGCCACTGCTCCAGCCACCATCCGCCTCTTCTTCCACGATTGCTTTGTTCAGGTATAAATTGATTCCCATTTCGTTCGTAATTATAACTTCTTTCAGCTAACAGATAGGCGCAGACAAGCAGTGCTTCTGTGCATGTTAGTGTAGCTAACCGTGTATTGCTATAATGTGCTGGTGGTGTATCTTGTTGATAGGGATGTGACGGGTCAGTTCTGTTATCAAGCAAGCCAGGAAGTAAAGAACTGGCGGAGAAGGATGCGCAGGATAACAAGGAAATACCGGCGGAGGCGTATGATATCATAGAAAGCGCCAAAGGAATGGTGGAAAGCAAATGTCCAGGTGTTGTATCTTGTGCAGATATACTTGCACTTGTAACTAGAGAGTACATTCATCTGGTAATATATTCTCATTCCTTTTTATATATTTCTAAATATTTTATTTATATAAAACAAAGTTATATGTTTAATATTAAGAGTTAAATTAGTAACATTTTTAAAAAAAAAATCAACTAAATGCATGTTGATTAGTTAAACATATATATTAAACATTGTCATGTTCAGGTATATATTAAAAAAATCAACAAAGTTATTGTTTTATAAAAAGATTGCATTGTCCTTTTCATAGTAATTATTAAACATATATATTAGTTTATTAGTTATAAATTGTTTATAAATGAGTTGGGACAAAACAATTATTGATAATTGATTCCAATTTGATTAGTCAATAATTTATTTTCCTATATTTAATTTTATTCATTGTGTATTCATATGTTTAAATATAACAAAAATATCAGATTTTGAAGTATTTGAATGGACAATATATATTTGTTTATCTACTTTTAATAAATTTTAATAAATTGCTCAATATGTCTAACCTTCATGTTGTTTACTTGCTTTTGTGTTTGATTTCTGATACGTAATATTGGTATACTCTATCACCTTTTTAGATGTATAATACAATAATTTTAAAATGATAGGGTGGAAAAGCCTATCAATATTATCTGCACAAGTTGACATGTGGTCAAAAGCACATGATCCATTCAAACAACGTAGTTTTTATATTTATTTTAAGAATTTACTTAGAAAGCAACATCCATTGCCTAATACGTGCTAAGGAACAAAATGATGAACTTTACCATTTGTTTGAAGAATATTTCTTAGGCACGGGGTGTATTACCTTCATTTTTACTCTTATCTAACGTTATGTTATTTCTCCTTTATTCTCTCCCACTTGTTTTCAATTTAGGAAATTGTCATAACTAAAATAAGATACCACCTCAAAAACAAGTCAAGTACATATATTTTTTAAAGGGGAGTTGATTCGTACACAACAATTTTTCTCCATACACAACAATTGATACTTTAAAATGTTGTATTGTACAACTATATAATGCATTAATTGTTGTGTATGGCAAAAAACTGTTGTGTATAAAACTATTTCGAGTTATTTTTCGGAAAGGTTGTCAAATGCTTATTTTCATGCACTTTTTCTTTTTTGGCCATTTCCCTTTCTTAAACTACAAACTTTCATCGAAATTCAAATTACATTGTTCGAAGAAGACACATTCTTTTTCGCTTTGTCCTTACCTATCAGATAGACTATTTCTTCTAATTCAAGATAGTCATCGTCATTTAAATCTAACCCAACACGAGCATCTGAGAAAGTTGTGTAACCTGTCACAAAAATTCACCATCTTCTCCTTCTGATTGTTGGGCGTCAATTCATGTCTTGAATAGTTCATTTTGCGAAATGTGGGGGTGGATTTTAGGGATGTCTACGTGTGACATTTGCATTTTCTCAACAAACTCGACTTAAGGAACGTGAGGGGGTTGGGTTTCCAAAACATATTGGGGAAGGGCCTCTTTCAGAGAAGTCGTTGAACATGTTCGTGGTGAGGGTCAAAATAAGATAATAATGTTTCACATTTTGAAATTGAAATTGGTGTTAAATAAATAGGACAGTGTCTATTTAGGGTCGATAAGATGGTATCAAAGGATCCAAAGCAAAAACGATATAAAATATAGTAGTACGAGATTTCTTTTGACCGAATCTTGGAGTAAAGTTGTTAGACATTTTGTTGTAATCCATTTTGATTAAAAGGGATTGATGGATAGAGTTGTGATAAAGGGTTGTATGAAATTGAAGGTTAAAAGGTTATTATTTATTAAGTGCTTAAAAACATCAAAAAATAAATAAATAAATATTTGAAAACTAGTTAAAAGGAGGAGAAAGGAAAGAAAGTGTAGTGGAATCTTCTCATTCGGTTTGAGTCACCGCAGTTTGCACACCTCATGGTGAAGTGTTACCACATATGTGCGGCGCCATATGGCACTAATACTAAACCACCTGCCAGATAGACTTTGAAATATTATAAGGGTTCGCTGCATAACAGGAATTGATAGCATATTGATATTTTATTTATATTTTATCACTTATTTAAAGTTTTGTTGTATTATTAGTCGTAATCAAACCGTGTGTTTATTATTGATCATCTCAAAGATACGATACATATGAACCTAATATATATAGGTTAGCTAAATACAATTAGGTACCCTCTAATTTAAGTAAAATACAATGCAACCCATAAACTTAGTCTAACATTCCCCCGCAAGCTAAGGACGGGGAACGACCTGTAGCTTGGAGCGTAAAAAGAGAAATCTTTGAGAAGACAGCGGTTTGGTAAAAACATCAGCGATCTGATCAGCAGTAGAAATGAACTGAACACATAATTGACCAGAAGCCACACGTTCACGAACAAAGTGAAAATCCACTTCAACATGTTTGGTGCGAGCATGAAAAACCGGATTAGCAGCTAGATAGGTAGCACCAAGATTGTCACACCAAAGTGTAGGACGTTGAACGGAAACTCCCAATTCATTGAGAAAAGCTTTCAACCAGACTAATTCAGCCACCGTATCTGCAAGGGCTTTGTACTCCGACTCGGTTGAAGATCTTGAGACAGTACGCTATTTGCGGGCAGTCCATGAGATCAAGTTCGATCCCAAATATATAGCAAATCCTCCCGTGGAACGTCGATCATCAGGGCATCCTGCCCAGTCTGAATCCGAGAAGGCATGTAAAGAATCAAATGTAGAGTGTTGCCAATGAACATCCGTAAAGGCTTGGAGAGAGGAACCCGAATCATGCCTAATGAGAAGTCCAAAATCAGTTGTGCCCTGTAAGTACCGCAAGATACGTTTGACAGCGGACCAATGGTTTTCGGTAGGAGCATGCATGAATTGACACACTTTGTTGACGGCATAAGCAATGTCAGGATGAGAGATACTAGTATACTGAAGAGCTCCAACGAGTTGTCTATAGATAGTCGGATCTGGCAAGAGAGGACTGTCACCAATAGATAAGACCTGAGTGGTGGTCATTGGAGATTGGACCGGTTTGCAATCCTTGAGACCCGAACGATGAAGAATATCCAAAATATACTTCCGTTGGGACAATATGAGGTTAGAATTACGAGAAACAACCTCAATGCCCAAGAAGTAATGCAGTTGACCAAGGTCTTTAATGGAAAAAGTGGAACCCAACTGTTGAATGAGGTGAGCAATCATCGCATCATTATTACCAGTAATAATGATATCATCCACGTAGACTAGAATGTAAATTCGAGTCCGACCTGTTTTCAGAATAAATTAAGATGGGTCAGTGCGAGACCCCGAAAAACCAAAGCGATGCAACACAGTGGACAAGCGTTGAAACCAAGCTCGTGGAGCTTGCTTGAGACCATACAAAGACTTGTGAAGAAGGCACACATGACCAGGTTTAGAAGGATCAACAAATCCTTGTGGCTGCCGAATGTAAACGGTTTCTTTTAAGTCACCATGCAAAAATGCATTCTGAACATCCAATTGCCTGATTGACCATTTATGAGTTACAGCAAGAGAGAGGACAACCCGAATTGTGGTGGCTTTGATCACAGGACTAAAAGTTTCATGATAGTCAACACCCGCTTGTTGTTTGAAACCCTTTGCTACAAGTCGTGCTTTGTAGCGAGAAATATTGCCCTCGGGGTCTCGCTTAAGTTTATAAACCCATTTGGAATCTATGATGTTGGCATGAGGAACTGGAGGGACAAGAGTCCAAGTACCATTTTTGATAAGAGCAGTGTATTCCTCTGACATGGCATTCCGCCATTCCTGAGATTTGCTCGCAACCGAAAATGAGGTAGGTTCGGTAATAGAAGCAGTAGCATGATATGCCGAGGGGCTATAAGGTGTAGTCCGTTTCGGGTTGGGGCGTAAATGTGGGGGACGGGTGCGTGGAGGAGGAGGTGGCGTGGCATCAGGAGAGGTATCAAACGACTCAGTCGAGGTAGTTTCTGTGGTGATAGGTGGCGATGCTGCCAAAGGAGTAGTTATAGGAGATGCAGGAGGTGTGGTTGGAGGTGAGTCGTCAATAGTAGTAGTAGAAGTAGGATCGGGTATAAAACTTGGGAGAGATGAAACATACGTAGCGGCAGGAGTGGTACTAGGAGGAGGTGGGCGTTTGAACGGAAAAACATTCTCATTAAATCGAACATGGCGAGCAATGTAGATTCGATCCGTAGAGGTGTCAAGGCATCGGTAACCATGGTGTAGTGGGCTATAACCAAGAAATGTACAAGGAGCAGAGCGGAAATCCATTTTGTATCTATTGTACGGGCGAAGGTGTGGAAAACATTCACATCCAAAAACCCGAAGAAAGGTGTAGTCAGGTTTTCGACTGAAGACATGTTGGTAAGGTGATCTATTGGATGAGGTTCGAGATGGTAAGCGATTGATAAGATACACGGCTGTCTCAAAAGCAAACTGCCAAAATCGTTGGGGAAGATTGGCATGAGCAAGGAGAGTAAGGCCAGTTTCAACCACGTGACGATGACGTCGCTCAACAAAACCATTTTGTTCGCTAGTATGAGGGCATGAGCGACGATGAATGATCCCAAGTGATGAGAAAAAGGAAGATAGATTGCGAAATTCCCCTCCCCAATCGGTTTGAACACTTTTGAGTTTGGTATTGAATTGTCGTTCTACCATCTTGACAAAGTTGGTGAAAGTTTGAAAAACATCAGATTTATGTGTCAATGGGAAAAACCACATATAGCGAGAGTGATGATCAACACAAAGTAAAAAGAACCGACAGCCATCAAATGATAAAGTAGGTGAGGGACCCCAAACATCACAATAAATTAAATCTAAAATATTATTGCTTCGAAAAGATGAACTAGGTAAAGAAAGTTTGGAAGATTTTCCTAACTGACAAGGAGAACATAAATCTAAACAATGTTTTATAGAAACAGGAAGCGAACAACTAGAAACAATAGTGTCAAAAACACGTTGATGTAGATGACCAAGGTGGTGGTGCCAGATTCTTGAGGAAGCTTTAGTTGCTGTGAGAGCCAACTTTGTTAAAGACTTGAAACTTGGAAGACGAAGCGAGTAGAGACCGTTATTACTTGGTCCCGTGAGAAGAGTGGTGCGAGTACGTTCGTCCTTCACAACAAAGAAAGAGGAGTGAAATTCAAAGAAAACATTGTTGTCTTGACAAAATTGTTGAACATATAAGAGATTTTTCTTGACATCAGGAACATGAAGAATATTGGAAAGATTAAAGGTTTTATTAGATGAATAACATTTTGAGGATCCAATATGAAAAATAGGAAGAGAGTTACCATCACCAACATGAAGAGAATCAGGACCACGATAGAACTCGGAGGTGTCAAGGTTGGACAGATCTGGTGTGGTGTGGGAGTTTGCACCTGTGTCAGGGAACCAAGTAGTGCCGGAAGTAGAGACATTGTCAGCAAAGGTTGCGAAATTTTCCTGCAAATTCGGTTTTGACGAGTTACTTGCATCTTGGTTATTTGGACACTGGGATGGAAGATGGCCAATACCACAACGGTTGCAATGACCAAATACAGTGTTTTGTGTGGAGGCCCAAGAGAATTTCCTGGAGGGACCTGAGTTGGCACCATGAGATCGATTCTGAAAATTCCAACGTGAATTATTCCCACGCGAGTTTCCTCGACGATTTCCTCTGTAGTTGTTTGGGGGCCGTGAGGCATAGAAAGCTTGAGGAGTTGCACTTTGTGGAGCAATCGGATTAAGTTGGAAGCCAAGTTGGGACGCCATGCTTTGTAGAGACTGAAGTTGGCTTTGAAAATTGTTAATGTTGAGTGATGTTTCTGTTGAAGCAGCAAACACGTGTGGCTGTGATGCAGGGGCAGCAGTAAGATTTTTATTTATCATATAATCATGATCACTCAAAAGGGCATGTAGCTCAATGAAGGTAACAGGTGGGTGACGAGCTAAGAGGGTAGACTTGAGTCCGTTATACTCTTCACGTAGCTCAGAAATAACAAGAAGAACCAGATCCTTGTCTTTAACAGGTTCACCAATATTAGCAAGTGCAGTAGCATATTCTTGTGCACGTGCAAGATAGGCAAGAGGAGTTTCATCGCCTTTCATGGTGAGTTTTAGCAACTGGGTTTTTAATGTATACTCTCTTGAAGAATTGGTTGGGGCATAAACACGTTCTAATTGTAGCCATAGATCTCGTGAGGTAGTACCCTGAACATGCTGGAAGGAAGCCTCTGAGATGGTAGAGATGATTATCATACGGACATGAGCATCATTAGAAATCCAACGAGAGTAACTAGGATTGTATGTAATTGTCTCTCCTGTGCCGACTTTGGGCTCAAGGCATGGTATTGTACCATCGACATAACCGAACAGATTGTTGGAGACGAGAAAGGGTTTTAGCATGGCCTTCCAATACCCATAGTTTGTGGGTGTGAGGGTAAAAGCGAATTTATGAGAATTATGAGAAGTTTTCTCCTGTGTAGTGAAAGGAGCAATGGTCGCCATGAAGTTTCTTGACAGATCGGTGATTAGGGTTTATCTTGCGCAAGAGGCTGTTGTGAGGATGCCGCCAATAAGGTAAAGATTAACTTGGCTCTGATACCAAATCAAACCGTGTGTTTATTATTGATCATCTCAAAGATACGATACATATGAACCTAATATATATAGGTTAGATAAATACAATTAGGTACCCTCTAATTTAAGTAAAATACAATGCAACCCATAAACTTAGTCTAACAGTCGTTAACAATCTGTTAACTTGTTAACTTCTTTACTATCTAACCACTATAAATTTACAATTGTGTCTTCATTTGTTATACCAAAACTCACTCGACTTATTTTTTCATAAATGTTTCACTTGACTTCTTTTGTGACTTATGAATAAGTAACAAATATTAGTGTAAATATTATATTTATATGGTGCAAGTGTTTTGTAGCCCACAACCCATCTACATGAGCCACGTCTAAATTCTCTTTGTTATTGTTATTTATATGCATTAATTAACGAGAGAGTGTATATCACATGAAAATATTCTCTGCTAAAACGATTTTCGGTCATATTTGAACCTACGAATACTATTACACATGGACAAATTTTTGGGACCCAAACTTTTTGGTCCCCTTTGAGGTTGGCTCTACCTAGGTACCACTACATGTGAACAATTTTGGGCTAACCCTATTTAATGGCACTTCTTCAACCCACATGAGGCCGAGTTTGATAGTGTGTCGAAGGTTGTATGTGTGATTGGGTGTATTATAACATAGGTGTGACACTAATAGGTACACATTTGGTAGCATTTTGAAGGGGTGTTGCTTTTATATAATACAAATTTACAAAGGATGTTTTTTAATGAAGCAATTCGAAGAAGGGTGGGGAATGGTCGTGAGCTCGTATTACTAGCAAGGAAGAAAGATTGGGAGGGGTGGTGTGGGGGTTAAGAAGTCAAATTAGGGTAAAATGGTCATTTATATAAATATAAAAATAAGGACCAAATAAAAAATCGATACATTTTGTGAATAAAACTATAAAAATCAGGTAAACATAAGGATCATTTATATAACTTACTCATATGTATTCTAACTTGTTCTAGGACGTTTTAACAACTCACACTCTAACAAAAACTTTTTCCATTGTTTAATATTTGTCTTATAGTCATTTAAACCTATTTTGGTTCGTAAACTTACTAGTTTTAATTACTTAATGTTATGAACTCTACATTCTTTTATTTAATTTGGACATCATTACTTATACATTCTTTTACTTAAGTTACACGTAATTGATGACAAAAAAATATAACTTAATATATCAATATTATAACCTTTTACATATTTTGTCTTTTATTGTTCTCACAATTCATATGACGTTAAAATTGATGAATATTCTTAAACTTCACAACATTATGATATTTTCATAAATACGATTTTTATTTGTAAATTTTCTCTTCATATATATTATCCACATGTGATTATGCTTTATTTGCATGTTAATAAAGAAGAAAACAGATTAATCACATGTAAATAATGTAATAATCGAGAGTTTTTATAAGAAAAAACATAATAATTTATATTTTACAAAAAGATATTATATCAAAATACATGTCTTTTTATAGAGAATAAATTTTAATACATTTTGATATATTGTGATACTTTTTATATAATAAAGTGTTGAAAACTATGTGGTTGAGATTCGTTCTCAGATTCTCAATCTCTTTTTATTCTCATTTGAAACTTTAATTATGTATGCATTATTGATATTAACTTTGTGATTTTGCAATTGTGATTTATTAATTTTTACAAATAGGCTGGAGGACCGTTCTACCCGGTAAAAAAGGGTAGGTGGGATGGACGCACCTCAATGGCAAGCTTGGTGTATGCAAATGTTCCTCATGCAAATTCCACCATTGATGATCTATTGAAACTCTTCTCATCCAAAGGTCTAACAATTAACGATTTGGTAGTCTTATCGGGGGCTCATTCCATTGGTTTTGCACACTGTAAAAATTTTGTGAACCGTCTCTACAACTTTAGAGGGACAGCAAAGCCGGATCCAGATATGGATCCAAGGCTCCTTAAATCCCTTAGAATGTCATGTCCACAATATGGTGGCAACATCAATGTTGTAGCACCTTTTGATGCCACAACTCCATTTGCATTTGACAATGCATATTATCAAAATTTGCAAGGGAAATTAGGGTTGTTGGCAAGTGATAAAGCATTGTTTTTGGACCCTAGAACAAGGCCTTTGGTCGAAGCTTTGGCCAAAGATAAGAACAAGTTTTTTCAAGATTTTTCTGTGGCTATGGAACATTTGGGGAATATTGGTGTGAAAAGAGGAAAGAAGCATGGTGAGATAAGAAGGGTGTGCAATATGCATCTATAACTTATATCTTTTTTTTTTTTTTTTCTTTTACTGAAGTTTATTTATAATTTGATTCAACGATACAAAGTAAGATTTTATAATTTTTTGGTTGTGAGTTTATCTGTCAATTAAAACATACTTGGATTTTCCTTTGGTTGGAGATTCGGAGCTCAATTCAAAAATATATATTCATCCAATATACAAATACACATCTTACAAGTTTGTATGTTCTATTGTGCCACGACTTAGCAGTAAATTCTAGCGTCGCTAATTTAACTTCAAGGTTTAAATTTGTTGGATTTAGAGAGAAGGAAATTTATTATTTGCATAATGTTCATCAGATGAAATAATATGAGCCGTCATGGAATTCTACTACAGCTAGTGACTTCCTCAACATCTTCATCATCAAAATCAATAAAAACTGAAGACCCAAATTCATTTGAGACTGGGTTTATCATCTTTGCAAGATTATAAAGAAAGAAGCATAAACCATACATCAAAAGCAGAAAAAAAAAAAATTATATTTACATGTGTTAGAAGTCATGTTATTTTGTAAATATCACTTGATATTGGTATATCTTTTTGGAAGTTTATATAATATAACAATCATAATATGAAAACGTATCAATTTGATTTTGGTTTATCTCTAAAAATAAACAATTATAGATTCAAATTTTCATGTGTTAGTGGTCTTAAAATGTTGGAAAGTTAGTTTTATTAACATAAAAAATGGGTTTTTTCTATTTTTGAGCATGAATTTCGAACTCTAAATGTAATCAAAATTAACTAATGATTATATTTCTACGTTATCCTCCGTGACATCTTCGTTTTGATATATCATATATCCAAAACGGATTAATAATGAATGAGAAATTACTTGTTAAAGTGAGGTAGTCGATGTAGGTTAACAAAGGAGATAATCAAGTTTTCTTTCATCCCACATAGGCGGGAGAAAGAAAAGGAGATGGGTATATAATTACAAGGGTAATAACCCAAAAGTTGGAGAATTTCATATATGATCTTATTAAACTTCAAAATATATTATATTTGTTCATCTTAATTTTTCAATATCATATTTATCCTTCATAAAACTTCAGAATATCATATTTGTCTAAAAATTTTTTTATAATGTTTTTAAATATTTTATAATCATTTTTTATACCTTAGAATTATTATAATAATTAAGAAATTTAACAATATTATCCTTACTTCTATGATAATGAAATGTGAACTTCTAAGTTGTTAGAATGTCGGCCTCTTGACAAACAAAAAGATTCATCTTCAACCCTTTCTATGTAATGTATATTTTGATTGTTTATGTAACGACTCGTCTCTGGTATATTGCTTTTATATTATTTATTTTAGAAGTTTGCAGAGGGACTCGACGAGTCTATGGCCCGACTCGTCGCGTAGAGTCATGATCTTGAGCAGCGTATAGATCGGCGACTCGGCGAGTCCATATTTGGGATTCGGCGAGTCGGCCTGCCAGGTAGAAACCCTAAATCCCCGGGTTTGCACCCTATTTAAACCATCTTATGAGCCCCCAAACTCGTCTCCTTCACCCTCAAAGCATTATTTAGCAAACCCTAACCATTCCATTGAGTATTTGAGCATTTCTTGTGTAAATCTTGAAGTTTTGAAGAGAAGAAGGAGGCTAGATCCAAAGGAGAAGAAGAAGATCCAAGGTCTTGCACCCATTTCAGAGTTTATTGAGGTAATAATCGGATTCCTCCTGTTTCTATGATTGATTCTCCTTTATAAGCATATTTAGCCCATTTTATCCATCCCTTGGCTTGTTCATAGTAGAGAAATCATATTTGATTGATTAGCTTTCGGATCTAGCCATGTTTCAGTTCCAAAAACGTAGATCTATCAACTTTATGGAGCCATTTTGCATGATAGCCCTAGATCTACTCTTCCAAGTGCCTTTTTAGCCTTTATATCCTTTTGTATGCATATGTACACGTAAAGTTGGAAACTTTACGTGGTAAACCAGCCTTAGGAACTCAGATCTATAAATCGTATGTAGTGGTTTTGAGCAGAATCGGGTTTTTAGTAATTGCATGCATGTGACTCGGCGAGTCGTTCTTCGAACTCGACGAGTCGAGTCGCGAGTCCCCGATCCTTCCCCTTTGAGTGATTCCGAGTGGGGACCAGTGAGTAGTAGAATGCACTCAGTGAGTCGGAGGTTAGACTCAGTAATGGAGGGACTCGGCGAGTTGTTCATACAACTCGGCGAGTCTAAGACAATCTTCATAGATTCAAGAACAACTCGTCGAGTTGTTCATATAACTCGGCGAGTCGGATGTAGATAGCCTGAGTTTTAGAATCAATTGGGAACTCGTCGAGTTTATGCCATACTCGACGAGTAGCAGCGAGCAGGGTTGAGAAATGAGAGTAGGGACTCGGCGAGTTGGCGGCCCAACTCGGCGAGTCAGGTCAACTGTAAGTTGACTTTGACCAGAAGAGTTGACCTTGACCAGGAGAGTTGACTTTAGCCAGGGGTAAAAGAGTCATTTTACCCCAATGCAGTTATTAGTATTTTGATTGAGTGTATTTGCGGAATTGTAGCCGGGGAGATACCGGAGCAGCCGCAGATAGTTTCCAAAGCCATACACTCAGCAGCCAGATCACGAGGTGAGTTTCCTTTTTAGTAGGAACGGGTCTAAGGCCACAATGTCGGCCGGTATAGCTAGTAGTAGTTTCCGGACTTCGGTCCAATGCAGATTTTAGTATGTTTGATGCCTTCGTGGCTCAGACAGGATTTATGTGTTATGTGTTCCAGGTTACAGCCGATGCAGTATGCAGTTTATGTGTTCATGCTAGTTGATATGTTTATGCTATGCTATGTTCATTAGTTCCGGACTTCTATCCGATGCAGTCAGTTCCGGACTTCGATCCGATGTAGTTAGTTCCGGACTTCGGTCCGATGTAGTTAGTTCCGGATTTTGGTCCGATACAGGAGGCAAGGCCTCAGTAGTTCCGGACTTCGGTCCGATGCAAAGGGCAAGGCCCTGGTTAGTTCCGGACTTCGGTCCGATGCAGTGGGCAAGGCCCAGTATGTGTTTATATGTAATGTATGGTATGTGGTAGTTTGGGGGAGCTCACTAAGCTTCGTGCTTACAGTTTCAGTTTTGGTTTCAGGTACTTCCGTAATCAAAGGGAAGAGCTCAGGTTGATGGCATCGCATACACCACAGTTTCAGTTGTCCTGGGAGATGTTTTAGTTTTCATAAATGTGATTTGATACAGTCTTGACACAGTTTACATAACACTTTGCTATTGAGTTGAGATATTGACGTATGAGTTTTATTTTATGATATTATCTTAGTATTTTAGTAATTGTTAAACAAAATTATTTTTAGGTCTTATTTTGGGATGTTTCAGTTTAGTTTTTATTGTTGTCGATTATTATTATGTTGTATATGGAGGATATTTTAATTATTATCATTGGTATTTTGATTTTTAAAAAGTGCATATACGATGATATTTAAGAAGGGCATATCTGATATTTTGATGTTTAAAAAGGACATATATGATATTTTGAAATTTTATGAAGGGTAAATTTGATATTTAGAAATTTTATGAACGGTAAATATGATATTTAGAAATTAAGTTTGCTAAATATGATATTTTGATGTTTAAGAAGAGCATATATGAAATTCTCTCTGTACGATTTATAGAATTAAATGTTATCTCTTTTGTGCCCACATATGGGGTGCGAATGCGAGCCAGTTCTACTTTACTTTACAAAACTTGTGTGTGAGCATGGGTGAAAAGACTATTAACTATAAGACTTATATAACTATTCAAAACACCCCACATATTACACCAAGATCTCTTTCCATTGGGAAATATGTATAAGCATACAATGTGGACTAAGGTTTGACCTTTAATTGTTATCAATGTGCTACATAAGACCGTTTTCTGCGAGTATGAGCTGCTTTGCTTTACAAAACTTATGGGTGAGCATGGGTGAAAAGACTATTAACTATAAGACTTATATAACTCTTAAAAACACCCCACATGTTACACCAAGATCTCTTTCCATTGGGAAATATGTACAAGCATACAATGTGGACTAAGGTTTGACCTTTAATTGTTATCAGTGTGCTACATAAGACCCTTTTCTGCGAGTGTGAGCGTAGAATACCAAATATAACCAAGTATTGATGACTAGATGGCATGTGAGCTATTTATGTGATTTATATGGTATTTTAGGAAACTAAATATAACCAAATATTGATGACTAGATGTCATGTGAGTTATTTATGTGGTATTTTGGGAAACTCACTAAGCTTTGTCCGTATAGTTGTTGATTAAATGTTTTCAGCTTGTTCCTCTGATTGTGTGAAAGCTCCAGCTTAACTGTATTGTACGCACATTGTAGATGACTATCTTTCAGACTTCTGATGATTATGATGATTTTTATACATTGTTTTACAGGTTTCGATACATTTTGTCATTATGGTTTCAAGATGTTTAAAACAATTTACTACTTTGATCTCTTATAAAAATGTTTTGGATGATTTATTATATTTTCAAAGGAAAATTGTCACACCCCAAAACCAAGAATGGCAAAAATGTTCTGGAGCGGAGGACGTCATGTAAAGTATCACAACCATTCTTGGTAGTAAACAAGCAACAACATCATCCATTGCATTAATAGTATAATTTTAAATACAAGTGTGTTCTTTCATAGAATAAAACAACATAATGAATAATCAAAATAAAAGACGAGTCATGACTGCTCCGTCTTCTCAAAACCTGGTCATCGTACCTGTCTATTGGTGACCTGAGAATACAAGTTATTTTGAAAGCGAGTATCAGCATAAAGCTGGTGAATTCATAAGTATTTTAGTGTTATTGATTTGTAAAAACTTGTAATGAAAGACTTGTAATTGTTTTGAGGAAAAGTTTGTATAAATATGAAAACCCTAGAAAATCTCATATTTCCTACTAGTATAAAAAGTAGTCTTCTACCAAGACCTGATTGTTTTGAAAGTATGTATCATTGTAAAA